AGGAAGGAGGAAAGAAAGAAAGAAAGGAAAATAAGGGCCTTTCCTCCCACTCTCCCCCAAAATCCCCAGGTAGGAAAACATGCCGCCCACACGACCCCACAGATTCTCCCAGTACCTAGTTTTGTCCCGACACGGCCTCCGCAAAACCGCTCTGCGCCTCCCCTGCAGCTCCGGCTCCTTCTCTGTCCTGCCCGGCGCCTCTTCCCTTCAATTATCAGCTGAAGCCGCAGCACCGATCAGTGCGCCGTCTGCCTCCGCTCCCGTACCCCCTCCAGTGGCGTAGGGGGAGGCTGGGGACTACTTTACCCCCAAAGGGGCCCGGGGGCCCCCCGCTCTCCCCCCCCGTCAGCAGCGGCGTTTCTCCTCTTGTCCTCCTTGGTGCTCCCTGCCGCGGGGCCCGCAGCCCCCCTGCCCACCCCTCACGGATCGGCTGCGGCTCGATCCTTCGCGTCCCCCTCCGCTTGTCTCAGACGTTCCTTGGCTGAAAAAGAGGTATCCCTCCGCTGGGGTCGTCACCCTTGGGGTGCGCGCAAGCGTTATCCCCTCAGGGTCAGCGAGATCACGAGTGACGCCCCACCCACCCCCGCTGGAGGTTTCAACCCCTCAACCGTGGCGATTCAGGGGCCCTTTCCGTTGTTGTCGTAGCGGAGACCCGTCGACTTCGACTCCTAAGAGCGCTCCGTCTCCTTTAAGAGGGGGAGGGAGGGCTTCCAATGACCTCTCCCTAGGCCCGCCCCTTCCTGGTTGCCATAGTGACTGGCTGCTGGCGTCCTAAAATGGCGTCTCTTCTCTCAGATAATTTGTTCGAGGCGCGAGGACAGGCCCCAGCGCCTAGCAAGGACTTCTATCAACTTATTGTCACTCGGAAGGAAGTGAGTAGGCTCTTTCTCACCGTCACCCTGTAATCGATGATAGATTTTTTTTCCTTCTTGATAAGGAGAGCGAAATCTAAGTGAGGCATGAAAACGAGTAACTGACGGTGCCCCGAACACAGGAAGATGAGACAATCGGTGCCTTCTCGAGGATCCTTCAGAGGCACGTGAGAATAAGTGGAATTTGTGGGGAGGGGATATGTTGCCTGCTCGACTCCTCCTTGATTCGAAAAGGAGTAGGAAAATTATTCTTTGTACATTCTTAAACAAGACATTCGTTAAAAATATATAGCAGCGCTGAATCTGTCTCCTGAAAGATGAAGTCTTTCTGAAAGTCAGTTGCTCTGAATTGGTGGTTTGAGTACCCTAATCCCATACTTTTTGTGTGTTGATCCAAAATGTATGGGCTCATACACATGTTTTTGGTATTTTGAATACCTAGCACTTTTTAGAGCTCAGGCTCTGATGCTGAAACATGTTACCTGATTAATGTAAAAAGTAATGAACCCTGGCTCAAATTAAGCTGAGTGAAGTAGATGTATTTCTGCAGTTTAAGAAGGCAAAAAGGAAGTACTAGACTTGAAGTGAAAGCTGCTCCGAAAGCATTAGAAAGAAAGAAATCCAAGGGTAGGTGGAATATTGATAGATTTATTTTAAGCCACAGAGAATGAATCTGTCAAAATCCTAACAAGAATATGTCAACAAATATGGAAAACAAAACAATGGCCAACAGACTGGTAATGCTCAATATACTTTTCAATCCCTAAGAAAGAATATGCCAAGGAGTGAGGTAACTATAACACAATTCCTTTAATTTCTCATGCAAGCAAAGTGATGATCAAGTTGTTACAACAAAGGCCTTTACTTTATATAGAATAAGACATGCCTGACTGTTAAAGCTGAATTTTGAAAAGGAAGAGGTACTCGAGATCACATTGCAAATATCTACTGGCTACTAGAGAGCACCAAAGAATTTCATGATCAGTCTATGTTTTATAGACTATAACAAAGCCTTTAACTGTGTAGCTCATGTCAAACTATGTGTTGTTGTAGAATATTCTGTACAGTTCTGGTCAGTGCGCATTGAAAAGGATATTGTAGAACTGGAAACAAAATTATCAAGGGACTGGAAACAAAATTACCAAGAGACTGGAAACAAAATTATCAAGGGACTGGAGCAAGTCTCCTATGGGGAGTGGTTACACTGTTTGGAGGTGATTGCTGTATTTAACTTAGAAAAAAAGGTGAATGTGGGAGGACAGAAAATAGGTGTGTAATGGATTGATTGTCTGACTAGGATTCAGGAAACCTCTGAAATTGCCCCTTACTTAAAGGAAGATGAGAGCCACCTTAAAATGGCTGAAAACAAAAGCAAAATAAAGAAGACAAATATATTGTGGCATCTTACAGACTAGCTGCTGTATTTTAATGTGAGCTTTTGTAGCAAGTCTACTTCCTCAGAAGATACCCTAAAATGGTATCTCCAAGTTCTATTCCAGGGGAATGTGTCAAAAAGATACCATAGGTAAGTGTACTAAAAGCCACAGAACCAGTGGAGAATTTTGGTGTCTGTTTACTCCTTGAATAGAAATAAAGTGACCTAAGGTCTGATAGCTTTTATGTGAAAAGAATAATACATCTGAAAGGGCTATCTAGGAAGATGGAGATAAATAGTTCAATACTGAAAAAGCAAAATTTCTACAAACATTGATATTTAATCATTTAAACCTCAACTCAATTAACAGAAAAGCAAATTCACTGTGTCTGCTTGCTTATACACTTACCCATACATATGTGTTTTAGACATGGGATGTTGGAAAGTATGTGCTAAAGTATCATTCTACAATAGAACACTGAAGGGTGTCACAGGCACGGTAAAATATCACAGTCTGAGCTTTAATATATGTGTAAATAAGTTCGAGCAACTATCCAGAAATCAAACTGAATCAGTGAAAAATATCATTTTTACAATAAACATTAGATTCATATATGGAATATGTCCTTCTTACATCTGAAGGATATAAGTATCAATAAAAAATATAGAGCCCCTGTGGTACAGTGAACTGGTGTTTGGATTAGACTATGTTCCATATCCTTATTCAGTTATGAATTATCGCTACAGTTTCATTCCAACTTTTTGCACAGGATCGCTAAGAGGATAAAATGTAATGATACTCAAATAGCAGGTTGAGGAACCTATTGCCACCAGCTACTGAATCACAACTTTCATTATCTTTTAGTATTAACCATGTTGAGCTCAGGAGTCTCACGTAGACTAAGCATATTCCGTGGACTCTGGGACCCACAAAATATTATAAATCATTAAAACAGACAAACAGAAAGCCTGCTGGTTATAGAAGTGGATAACTTTGTTTCAGCCCTTTAGAACCCATAGTCACATTAGGGCTGGCCAGGCCATCTCTATTAGAAAATGAGGGTATTCTGCAAGATTGTGGTGCATATCCCACTTATTGCTCTCTGAAAGTGGGGAAGGACACCCTCATTGCTAGGACCTCAGAAGATTATGCAGGCCCCACACCTGTCTTTTCCATCCAGATTTCTGCAGTCACACCACAAATTTGGGGGCTAAAATGGCCAATCGTGCTCCTAGCTGCTCCCAAAATCTGTTTTAAAGTGAAAAAAGTTTATTTCTTTACAAGAGTTTTTAGCCGCACCAGTACCACTTGTCCCTGAGCGGCATACAGCAAAAAGTTGTGAGATCCACAAATCTGGTGCTATGTGTATTTGCACCTTCTTCTAAAGAGATAATATGTTGTGGATTTCTTAAGCCTTAAAGTCCCAAGGCAGTTTTCAGCCCCATTTGCTCTCTGGAGGTACTGTATACTACATAGCTGAAGAATCATTTTAGCAATACAGTATTAATAACTAGGGCTGCTACTAAAGTAAAGAAATACTGGTTGTTCAAGTTTTTAGGGCAGATTTTCTGGAGGAGGTGCATAAAGGTCAAAATTAAGCATCACTGAAAGTTGTGTCTTCGTTTTCCCCTAGCAGGGGACAACTCATATTGCAAGCCAATGACATTAAAACAGTAAAAAATCACTCCTTCATGTACATACCCCTTTTTCTAGAATTTGCTTTGTTTGTGCAAAGTGAACAGCTGCAGCTACCACGTAGTACCTCTGTAGCCTGGTCTTGCGTGGTCATATGTAAACCTCCTTAGAGAATATAGCTGTCCTAAAATCTCTGTCCTAAAAGGGGGGGGGGGAGAGAGAATGTTGTAGCATGGTAGTTTTTTTATTTTTGTTGTTGGTGTTTGCTTTGTGTCATTTGTCTGTTTGTTTTGTATTGTTTTATAAAAAAATTAAATAAAGGATTAAAAAAGAGAGAGAATATAGCTCATGGGTTTAATGTGGACTTTCAAGGCTGTACTAGATTTAGGATTTCTACTTGCTCTTCTTGCTTGAGCTTCATATGAATTGCCTCCCTTTTTAATCTTTTCCCTGTGGGTAGCTCACCCAACATTTTTCCTAGCTCCATTTATCATCATATTCTGTCTTCTCTGAAAGCATTCTAATGCTAATAGTCAGATAATACTGCTAATCAAACTGTTTCTTCCCTCAAAGTTTTGCATAAATCTCCTTAATTTGTGGGAAATCTTCTTCTAGGTAACTATTAGAAGTAAGCGTCATAATCCTGTGTAAGTTTCCACAGAGACAAGGCTTCAGAGCACTGAAGTTCAATAGGACTAACTTTGAAGAAATGCATTCTGGATGACAACTGTGCTTCCTAGTCCTGCCCATCTTTACTGAGAAGAAAGTTTCATTGCTTCTCATGGAATTTACCCCCAATTAAATATAAAACCTTTATCTGGAAAAGTCCCACTACATTTGGAACATGAGTATGAGAGTTCTTATGTATAATGAATACAGTGAAACAGCATACTATGTGAGTAAGCATTCACGTTAGTAATACCACCAAATTCAGTGTGTTATCAAAATTAAAATGTTAGTAAACATTTAGTTTGAAGTCTGAAACCCAGTTTGTCTGCCAGCACATCTCTGACATTGTTGCTGACTTGGAGCAAAGGGTGATTAGTTCATAACTCTGGCTTCTCATTTTAAATTTTTAACTTCGAGCTTAATGTCATTCAAAAATTTAATGTTTCACACAAACTGGAACAGCAAGCATTTCTACATGCTAGAAGTATTCATCCATTTGTTATTTTTCTTTTGTTTTTGTTTTTTTCATTTTTAGCATCTGACACAACTGAGAATCAGCTGAAATTGAGGTTATGTTCCATAAAAATCTTGCAAACATTTTTCAGAAGCAATAAAATTGGCTAACTTCTTGATTGCATTTTTCTCCAGCTGATAACTACCTGGCCTCTGAGGATTCTTGAACCCAGGCATTAAAAACACACCTGTCTCTGGAGAGCTGCCTGCAGTGACAGACCTCTGCACCAGAGTAGGCTCTTGCAGAGGCAACACCAGCAGCCAAGAAGGGGAGGGGGAACAGCATGTTTGCCACTTCAGAGGCCTGTTATCTGTGGGCTGGCACTGGCTAGAGGTTAGAAGTTTAAGTTACTGCTGCTGCTGTTATGTGCTGTCAAGTTGGAATTGCAGCAACCCTAATAGGGCTGCTAAGGTGAATGAGATATTTAAGGACTGGTTTTACCGCTTCAACACCCCTGGTGAATTTACTTAGCTGAATGTGGATTTAGCTGATGTGGATCCTTAGCCATCACTCTATCCACTATACCACACTAGACATCCTTAAAGGTTTAAACCAACTGGGGGCAGTGATTACAACTGTTTAGATGACAATTGGAGATGGGCATGAACCATGGGTTCGGCAGTTACTGTCGGTTCATTTATTAGCAAAGCAGATGTTTGGCACTTCAAAGCCCCACCTCCACTGGCAGATGCCCACTCAGAGGCAGCACCCAGAGGAGGCAGGACAGGGAAGCCAGGCTGCTGTCTCCAAGTTGGAGCCTCCTGAAGGAGGCAAGGCCTTGAAGTGCTGAACACCTGTTTGTCTGA